GAAGTCCGTACTACTCCTTGCAGCTAGGTTGAAGGTTGCATTCGAGGATCTTGGTGTTGACATTGTTGACATCAATCAAGGATTCCAAACATGGCTCACATTTACTGCGTCTTCGTTGATTTCAAATGCATCGTTGGCGTATGGGGAGCACTTGATGAAATCTCTATCTCACATGGGAGGAGTCAGAATTTCGAAGAGGCAAGCTCTGGAAATTTTCCGGAACGGACGCGGCAAGCAATTCAGCATATATCGCGAAAGAGTTTTCGATGATGTTGCGAAGAAGTGGCTTTTGATCTATAGAGTCACAAAGGATTGCGGAAATGTCGCATACAAAGACTTCTTCGAAAAGGTTGCCGTTCCCGAGGTGAAGGAGAGGAACGAGATTTTTGGATTCTCCCGTGCATCTGCCGAGAAAACTGGAGATATCATCGAGTTCTGGCTTGGTGTCTTGGACGTGGCCAATATGGCCAAGGGAGTCGTGGATGTTTTCAATGCTAGCGTTGATCCAGCTGAGTATCTCAATGGACTGGAAAAGGCACTGGCTCAATTCACATCGACCTCCCGAACCTCGAGCACCATCAATGACAAGAGACGGGGATCCTTCGACTGCACACTGCAAACTGCAGAAGCCGAAAGGGTCATGAAGCTTATCCACGCAATCCCCGGATATGACTCGCTGGCCAATTTCTGCTGCCTCACGGACTGGGAGAAGGATCAGGTATTCTCTCATTATCGCAGGAAGAACAACATCACAGGGGGTGACGCCAGCATGGGCACTGATGCCGATGCCAAGCCAGGTGACGAGTCGTCGGCTCACCCTGGGGAGGAGGAAGCTGATGAGCCAGCGAACGACCCCACCGATGTGGTCAGGGACTCAGAGAATTCCGGGAAACAACAACTTTTGGATGCGTTGGGAAAACTCTTTACCGTCTCTGAGGATGTCAACGTGTGCTTGTATTGTGGTAGCACCCAACATGGCCATCTTGAATGTGAACATGAGAAGAGGGATGAAGTCAGAAAGGTGCTAAAGGCTGTCCGAGCGTCGCTCGAGGCTGATAGTCCAACATCTGATGACGTCGATATGGAGCCTCCTGAGCACAAGAAGGACGGTTCAGGTGCTACTGATGGGTCGGGGCAAACGGATGAACCTACAAAATCGAGGTTTAGTGAGCACCAATGGTACGACAGCATCAGAACTATGTCTGAAGTTGGTGACCTCGATGAGTATGGTAGATTCTGCATAGAAGGACGTGATGTTACAAAGCTAGGACCACAGAACATTGTTGACCTCAACGAAGTGGTCAGAGACGCTATTGTCAGAGGAGGAGGTGACTCTTGGTCAGTGCCAGACTTCATGGCAAGCTACTCTGATAACAACATCAGGAAGCCCTTCTACAAGAGAGTCGAGGCGCCGCAAGATGGTTTCTTGAAAATCATCCCGACTACGGGGGCCCATTTCTTCAACTGCTCTTACTTTGGAGGTGTAGAATATGCGGCCAACTACCGCTTCGAGACTGGCAACCGGCTCAATACCTACGAGGACAAGGTGAGTTCATCACTAAACAGGATCCTGCAGCACAACGTGGGGAAGGTATCAGAACAACAGAGTCTGTCATGTGATGACGCCGGCTGGGTGCCCATCGAGGAGGTGCTCAAATGTGAGTCCATCTGGAGGCACGAGTACGCACGCTGGCCACATGTATTCCTTGCTCCAAAAGGAAGAGCAAATGATCAGAATGCATGGAATGTCGATAAGGCAAACTACCGCATGACATTGCTCTTCAAGATCATGTTCCACTGTGCCCGGTATGGACGTCGCGTTCGTGAACAAGTCTTGGCATTTGGTATCAACAAGGACATTGAGCGCACCAGCCTGACGTGCATTGACAACAAAGTCGATGCGGACACGAACATTCCTGATGAAGGTCTACTGCTCTACCCTGTGGCGGTTCGTGCTCCTACGGGGCACAAGGAAGGATCTTCGAGGGACGATGTCTCGTTGCTGTCCTCATTACTTTCACATCCAATCGCGCCCAACACTATTTTGTCGTTACCGGTTTGTTTCCACATCACCAAGAAGACCAACCTTCGAAGCATTTGGAGGCAGGGATTAATTCCAGGAGGTCTTGGAGAAGGTCATCGGATGTTCACGTTCTTCAACCCGTATGTGCCATGGGATCACAGATCATGGACCATCACGAAGAGCGTTGATACGCGAAAGGGGGACTACATTTGCTTGTTCATCCCGACCGAGACCTTGATGGTGGAATATGGCGGTCGACTGACTGACTCGGGACAGATCGTCTCACCAAAGATCATCCCGTTCTCGGCAATCAAGGGAGGATGGATTCAGGACCCAAAGGACCAAAACAATAAGACATGGCTCCGGTTGTTCGTCCCGTCGGGCGACGACCAGGTAGTCCGGTCTGGAACTATCAAATCAAGAACGGTAGCCACCAAGGAGTCCATCTTGAGGGTTGCAAGTCAGTGCATCGACGCCGAAGATCAACCGTTTGACGAAACCGCCATGGATGCCATGAACATCGTCAACCAATTCAAGAACAACCTCATCAAGCCTGGCGGACAAGAGCAATACCTGGCCCGCATCAAGCTGATTGACTACATAGTCGAACGCAAAAGGGTGCAAACATCAGGTTGCCGCCATTGTCCTCACTGTCTCAATGAGACGCCGACAAAACTAGCAGTGTGTCTAGTTTGCTGGACGGAACTTGAAAGTTGTGGAATCCGTCCCTATCGGCTACAAGCTCCTGAAGACGATGAAGATGAGGCCACGAAGAAAGAGATCGATGAAGAAGTTCGTCGACAAGAAGAATCGTTGTTCAAGGATACGGTCCATCAAGCACAAGAAAACGTGTCCGAATCCAACGACTATGGCTTCAATCCCGACGAGGTCGACTACAACGAAGGCGATGATGAGGAAATGGATCAGGAGGAGGAAGCCCAACAGGAAGACGACGAAATCGTTGAAGAAGACGACGATGAAATGGAAGTCGAACCTGAAGATGAATCCTCTTCCAAACTTCCAGCATGGACCAAGAACCTCGAGAGCGGCAGCAAGGGTATGCCAGAAGACGGACTTATCAACAATGATGTCTCCGAGGCCGCGGCTCACTTGTATGACAATGCCGTCATGTCAAAGATCATCACAATGTTCAGGCTCTACTACAAACAGAGAGTCACTCTGACCCCAGAGGAGTACTATGAGATGATGACGGAAACCAAGCGAGTCCGGCTGGACCTGGACGACTTCTGTCCTTATACAGGAGAAGACCCGGATGGCAACCTCAAGCGACCGACGGAGCTGGAATTGGATGAACTCTTTCAGCAGAAAGGGAAGAGGAATTCATGGTCAGAAGGAGAGAAGTTATACTCAGGGCGACCAAGAAACATGATGATGCCGTCATCAAGACCTTAGAGATCTATGAGAAGATGATGGAATTTCTGGTACGCGCTGGGTACACTCCTGAGTCATTAGGCTTTCTCATGCCAATGAACCGAATGCAGGCTGATGCCCAAGGGAAACAGGAGATGCGAATAACCATCAGCAACTTCCTTCGACGACTGCTCAAAGGAACCTTTCCGGAGCACGAGTCATACACCTTCTTTCGCTCCGGGAGCCACGGCTTCCCCAACTGCATCGAACTCCCAGCTTTCTCGGTATATCTGAGCCTGAGGGAGAAAGAACAGAGAGTAGAACTGCTCTTTGCCGCCCAACAATGTGGCATTCCTTTACCTCAAAACTTTGTCAGCAAGATGGCTTATGCTATTCAGCTGGCCGAGGCCGAGGCGCAGAGGGGAAAGACCGAGATGAAAACGAAGATGGCTCCAACCCTTGGCGACGAAGTGGTGAGTGAAGTATTCAAAGCGGTTGGACATACTGCAGCTTCCAAGTTTGCTAAACCACCCGCACAACCTTCACAGACACCTGAAGGCACTGGTTCAGCATCATCCTCATCGGCTAGCGCACCAAAGGGCAAGGCTATGCCGAAATCCCATGAACCATCAAAGGCACCGCCTGCAAAGCCTTCATCGCCGAAAGCTGCTCCGAAACGTGCGGCAGGATGGGAGAGAACTCCAACAGCACCTCAATGGAAGAAAGTCCGCCGTGAGCAGTAAACCAATTGCTTCGATCCGTCAAAATGATAACTGGGCTACAAGATGTTTACCGTCTTTATGAACAGATGATCAGGTAAAGACCAACTGAGTGGACACTGAGCGAGGCATTAGACTAATTCGCTTAGGTTCAAGACTTTTGATATTCCCAATCTGCACGAGATTCTGCATTGTGCACGTGAATTCGTTAGTTAGCATTGTAAATCTTTGGTAGCGAGGCGATCCATTTCTCCCGACGGGTGAGTGGCATGCTTAGCCAACGTAGAAAAGTAGATGTTAGCTAGCAATAATTCGCGTTGTACAGCTTGAGGAAGCGCCGATGCATCGACAGCCAAAGAGTAGGCGAACCCTGAACCATTATTCCCGACGGGTATGTGGGGAAGGGGGAGCCGAATGGCATGTTTTATGTACATAGGCGTAATTCGAGTAGCAGAAGAATCTAATTCAAAGTTCCCACTCTCGTGCCTATGGTTCGAAGATGCCATAGGCATGGGGGGTGCGAAGGGGAACGAGGTAACAGTGTAGCTGCACATGATGAACATGTGTACAGTCATGCATGGACCGCCAATGATATTGGCTCAAGTCCTGCGCGAGGAAAATAAGAACGCTGTCCGCATGCCATGCACTGAGATTGCCCGGCGCTATCAGCATTACTGGTACTACAGACAAAAGGGATAATCCAGAACAAGGATCAATTTGATATATATATGTATATATATATATATATTTAAAAAACATAGTAGTTAAATTTTGAGGATTTGATCCATTTCTGGGATCATTCATTTAAGGACATTTAGGGTGGTTATTTTCCAAGACACATCTACAAGACCCATGTCATTTCAGGATTTTGATGGATTTTCAGCATCCAGGTGGACGAAGTTGTTCTCGGGCACGACATTGATCGTTCCACGGAACTGAGCTCTCTGCTGCTGGATGGTGCTGCGGGCATCAAAAGCATGGGCACCTCCCCCCGAGTCGAAGCCCGGCGCCACATCCCTGGCGGCGGCGACTCGCAGGTGGACCTGAAAATAGCTGAAACGACCTGACTTCTACAGTTCCACGGTGTTCAGCTGATGTTTTCAGCTGATGTTCAGCGTTCTGTCGCAATCCGCCAGGTCGACGAGCTGATTTGGGGAAGTGACGTGGATTGCTCGTCAGATCCACGGATTCTCCGTGCCAAAGCACAGCTCTTTGAAGGTGCTGCTGGCGGTACTCTACACTCCAAGCAGCTAGGCCAGGCCAATGTCACCTGCGTCCAGTTTTTCTTCACAAGAGTACAGAAAAGTTTACCAGAAAAAATATAGAAAAATCTTGGAGGAGTTGTTTTGGCAAGGTTTGCTGCTGCAGGTTGCGAACTGGTTTACTGAACAAAATGTGGTGCTAGTCGCATAATCGCATAATCGTGAATTTGGCACTGGATGGCACCCTCGTTTTTTGCCAATCAAAAGCTGTCTTTTCCCGATCAAAGTTTGAGCTGATCGATGCCTCAGAGAGAAATCATGCATGTGTTTCTCTAAGTCATCCTCGAAGCTGTTTTTGAACCACATATTTTTTTTTTGAGCCACGGACCTTGCTTAGTGCAATTCGGGCAACGGATCAAGAAATATGATCTTCAGGAAGATCCAGATATGTCAGCCATGTGGATTTTGATTTTGATATTTTAGCATTCACTAATCTCCAAGGACTGAAAATACTCATGCTTAAGAACCCAACAAGTGCTTCTGGAGTCAAAGTTCTTTTCAACCACAGAACATTTCTGGCTTATCCTTGGGGCCCCAGCCAGGTCGCCGTAGTGTCCCTGGCGGCGGCGACTCGCAGGTGGACCTGAAAATATCTGAAACGACCTGACAGTTCTACAATTCTACAGTTCCACGGTGTTCAGCCGATGTTTTCGGCTGATGTTCTGTCGCAATCCGCCAGGTCGACGAGCTGATTTGGGGAAGTGACGTGGATTGCTCGTCAGATCCACGGGTTCTCCGTGCCAAAGCACAGCTCTTTGAAGGTGCTGCTGGGACTTTGCCTGTCCGGACAGAAGGTGGGGAGCAGCAGTTTCACTTCAACTTTCAGAACTGTAGCATTTTGATGTTGGATTTTCTTGGTGATTCTGATTTATTAATATATCTATTGTATTTTATTATGATGAATTGCTATTGAGGCTGTATTCTTTTTGGATCCACGCTTGCGTTACACGTGTTCCTTGCTGTCAGTGCAGGTCGCCGCCAGGTGGAGTTCAATCGTCACAGTGGCGAGGACGAATCGAGTCGTGGACGGAGACATCACCCTTCGCCACGGGATCGGGTTGGACCCCTGCTGGCAGGCTGGGGCTATCTGGGGCTATTCTGGGGCCAAGATCAAAGAAACACTTGGAACGAAGATATACAAAGATGTCCTAAAGTTCCGGGAAGAAGCTGCACAGCGAAAAACACAGTCAACACATGAAAAGGACATTGGTACTTTTTGTGCAGACCCCATCTGTGGGGAGTTGCGGCAAAGAAATACTGGGTGCTATCCACTCGTGCTGGAGCCAGGTACAGCCCCGTCTTTGGCCTCAGAGGTCTAGACTTATGGATTTGTGCGTCGATTTGTGTGTCGATTTGTGTGCCGAATTGTTGCTGTTTCTTAAAATGAAACATGTTGAAGTAACTGTTGAAGTCATTGCTTCTGTTCAGTTGCTCTAAGGCCAGAACCCCATTCCCATCGGAGCGCCTACTATGTAGCTCAGCTGTCAAGGAGCCAATAGCAATCATCGTCTAGGGATGTCTAGGGGCAAACGCAACTGGCCATTGAGGTCGGTATGGCCTCGCAAGTGGACGAAGTCGTACTCTCGCATGATATCGATGGTAAGCCCACAGATTTTCGTGTGCAAATTGCTGTGTCAATTTGTGCCATGGGCGCACTGGGGCGCCTTCTTTGACGCCATGGGTCAAAGGGTCAAAACATGTCAAAATAATCTGGAGATCTGCCAAATTGACATCTGACAGATTGATATCAGATTGATATCAGATTGATATCAGATTGGATCTCTTGGATCTCTTAAATCTCAGATATCTGAGATTACAGTGACAGCAGGTTCCCACCAGCAATACTGGGACTATGCGGAGCTCACCAATGGTGCCGCGGGGCGCCGCTACGTGGGAGCAGAAGACCGCGCGGAAGGGAAGCGACACATCGAAGTGGTGAGGAACTCAGAAAGATTCGAGAAACAAACGACCGAAGCAAAACGAAAAAAAACGACAAAAAATCCACGACTTGAAAAAGAATTCAAAAGATTTTTGAAGCAAGAAGAGATAAGAGGAGTTGGTTGTACTATGTTGATATGTTGTACTTAAGTCATTTTTTGCTAAGTCTAACATTTTGCACGCGAGTTTGACCTGCTTCATGGAGCACATGCCTTCGCTCCGGAAACGTTCCACCGCAAGGCCGATTCGCTGGTGAAGGAAGTCTTCAGTGTGGATTCCTGGAAAACTTCAAAAAACTTCAAAAATTGAGCAACTGATGCCATTGACATCACAAATCGATCACCCACCAGAGTCCATGTTATCCATATTAATTATCCATATATATATATATATGTCATAGCGGTTTTCTGGGCTCCTGGAAGTTTTCTGAGGTCCCACATCTGAGTATCAGGCAACGGTCCCACAACAAGACGAAGCACATCGAAACACATCGAAAACTGGAAAATGGGTCTGTGGAGTCAAAATCTCGAAAATCTTCCAAACAGTTCCAATCTGTGTTGGAGTTCCAATGGATGTTCAAACGATTTGAGATTGGCACGGAGAGTTGTTGTGAGGCGCAACGTCCAGCGCGCAGGCGTGTTCCCGTAGCTTTCTCAGAGTGGCCCAGAGATCATTTTGTTTGACAAAACGGAAATATGATATATTTATATACGTATTATTAATAATATTATCATATCATTTTATGATATCATTTTATGCTCAAATGATTGACAGATTGAGGTTGGTACTGCTTCGCGGGTGGATGACGTCGTGTTGCATCGCGACATAGATGGTCGGAGACCAAGATGATAAGGATGGTTTGGCGTGTGGGGTGAGGTTTTTTTCATTCTTGTTTTTGTTCTTGTTGATGGACTTGATGGATGTCGATTTGTGGCTGATTTTGGCTGATTTTGCATCCAGGTTCCACGCAGATGTTTTTGGACTACGCCGAGCTGACTGCTGGCATGGACCTTGATATTACTTGAAATTACCCATGGATTTAACCAGATTAAACATTGCTTGTCATTGCTTGTCATTGATTGTCATTGATTGTCATGTTTCATTTGTCCATATTTGCCCATATTTGTCCCTGTTCATCCCTGTTCATCCCTGTTCCAATTTGCGATTTTCCTTGTTCTCTGAAGGTGCTGCTGGTCGTCGCTGTGTCGACTTCTCAGCGGGTCGGAGGTCGACGACTTCTGTGGCCGACGGTGTCGTTGCGCTGTGAGGTGGGCGCCCAGGACGGACGACAGGCTCGGAGGCAGATTCCCGTCGGAGCCTTGGACACCGAAAAAGTAGCCGAGAACATATCGAGAACATATCGAGGAATCGAGAAATCGAGAAATCAGGTAGATCGAGATAGATCGACATTTGCACTTTGCAATGCATTGAAGCCTTTGACGAGGCTGGAAATGCCTCACAGGTGGATGAAGTGCTGCTACACCGAGAGATGGATAGTGAGCCAACTTGGTCCTCCATTGTCATTTCTCTTGTGATCAGTGCGATGTGTGATTTCCAATGGAAATGACCAGAGGTGCAAAGCAGCAAAAATTCTTGGAATTTCAAGAGGTAACCGCTGGCCACGACCCCAGCTCAATCTCCAGGATTCGTTGAAGGTACCTAGGTAGGTCGCATCATGTGGTACCAACGATCTCTATGGCGCAAACATGGTGCTCTATGGTAGGTGCCGCCGGTCAACGTTATGCCAGCAACCAAGATATTCGTGCGACACGAAACCAACGAAAACAAATACTTTCATATTATATAATAATTATATAATAATTATAACATACTTTCATGATCTTTCACAGCCAAACATTTTCCAGAGGTCGGAAGGCAAAACCGGACCGAAGGGAAGCGGCACATCGAATCAGCAGCCCAGGGCCCAGTAGACTTTGGTGACCAGTAGAAGCGTTGCAAAACACGGCAACTTTCACGAGCAACGCTTCTGAGGCGTCAATGATGAAAGACATTTTAAGCCACAAGCTTAGACAAGCTTAACAAATCTTAAAAAATGCAGAGCTGCACTGGAGAGTACTCTTATCATTATGACATATTATTACCACATATTGCCAATTAAGGATAATTAAGCCACATATTTGAATAATTTGGAATATTCTTCATCGATCAGCTTCCTGAGGTGAGAGAGCTTGATCCTGGCCAATCGCCACGTATCAGGGATGCAGCTGTTGCTAACTACTGGCCATGGCTGTGGCTGCGGAAGCGCACTGAAATCCAGGTGTGCTGACGTGGCTTTAAAAAAAAGGCCCAAAAAACGCTCGGCTTCGGGCCTCATGCGATCCTGTGTTTTGATACAGTGTTTTGCTGTTGCAGATTTCATACCTCACAGACTCTGACAGACTTTGACAGACTCTGACACCTTTTGAATCCGAATTACTGTACCGTCTCTAAACCTCCTGCCATTTCTCTCAAGAAGAGACCAGAAGCGTTCCGTGCAGAAACTCTCAAGGAGCGCTGCAGCCGGCTGCAGTTAAGATTCTCGAGTCATGGTGCAGAGAAACCGAGTATCAAAACGAACCGTGGCTCCTTGCAGCATCTTGCAGTGGCATCTAAGTGGCGCTGACAATTGTTGTCGGCTGCAAGGAGTGGAGGACCTGCTATGTTTGGCAACTGGCCTGCAAGATATGCGGCTAACATCGGCTAAATGTATAGATAATATAGATATGTGACATGTAGCTAAGAATACTGCAAAATCCCCAAAGCTTCCTGCATCTTGCTGCCAAAGCATGGCAACGGACATGTTTGGTCTTCAATTGGAACTCTGGAACTCTCAGTCATCGTGAGATGGGAGTTCCCTCAAAGCCCGAGCTGAGGTGGTTGTTGCTGTGCAGATTCTCAGGATGCTGGGTCGTTTGATTTCATGTCTCCCCTTCTTAGCTGCGCTCGAGAAGGCAAATCATGGTCATAAGGATATGTATTGACCTTGTCTCGCATTTCAATCATCGGCTTTTGCAATCATACCTGCAGATCTTGAAACAGTTTCTAGGGTATGAAATTGAAAGAATGACATGGTATTAACATGTATTAACTGTTTTCCTTCTGTCAGGATGCATTGGAGGCTCAGTTCAACCTGCCTCTTGCAGCCGATGAGAACACGGTGCCATACATAGCCACCGACAAGAGGCCAGGGGAACCATCGACCCGAAATCCGTAGATAGCAGATATCCATAGATATCCATAGGTATCCATAGATATATATATATATATCCATAGATATCCTGCTAAGGTGTTTCAACAATGATTCATGATAGATTTCGCGAAAACACTGCAGATTCTTGAGACATCTTGAGACTGCCCGCTGCGTTTGGAAACGATCTGCTGACTTGCTGCATACCACGTGTTTCGACCTGGCAGGGTGAGCGGGCAGGCGTGGCCGCGTCCGTTTCGCGGATCATGTCAAGTCACGATCACAGGTCTTGATGACAGATGTCATTGATGTCACTGGTGTCATCAAGAGATGTCGAGAGCATGGATCAAGTGTCAGTCTGGAAATGTTGGGCGGTAATAGCCGTTTTTTTTTGAAATATTTTTGATATGTTGACAAGAGAACATGATCCTCAAATGTCATAATTTATGATAAGCATATCATAAGCACCATAAATCACTGGATTTCTGATGAATTTGGGACGATTTTTTCCAGGATGACCCCATCACCGCTACCCGGCAGGACGGTCCAGCCTCAGGCAGGTCTGGCCGGTCGCTCACTGCAGAGGAGAAGGAGGCAGAGAAGGCGTGGACGGGTGATTTTTGGAACAAAAAAACGGCCGAAGATGTTTGAAACCAATTGAAACCAGCTTTAGTGTGAATTTCTGTAGTTCTTTACGCAGTTAGGATGATATTAGGACGATCAGGGATCCATTTTTTGATCATGTAGGTGTTTTGGAGTTTTTTGAGGTCAATGTTCAATAATTCTGACCTATTTTGGAGCCCCATGTGACATTGCTGCGTCTGAAATGACTGCAGTTTTCAGAACTGACCCTCGAGGCCAGACTCCAGGCATTGGTGAACAACTTTGCAAAGAAGGCGCTTGCAGAGTACCTCGAGACACATCGATCTAGCAGAATTTAGCATGATATGTTAAACTATGTTAAACGGTTGAACAATGTTTAAGGAAAAATACAGTGTTGCAGTGTTGCAGCATTTTGCAGCTGGCATTTGACGAAAAACAATGCACAATTCTCCCCTCTTGATCTGTTTGCAGGCAGTACGAGGTTGCTCTTGCGTGTGCCCTGATGCTGAAGCATGTCGAAGCATGTCGAAGCATGTCGAAGCATGTCGAAGCATGTTGAAGCCGTGGGAGCAGGTTTACAGAGAGGTCCACCTGAAACTGAAATGGCGCCTCTGACTCTGTGGCACTCTGCTGTGTTCTGAACCCGGTGTATTCGTAAAGGAATCAATAAACGAATCAGTAAATAAAATATATGCATATGCAATCATATGCATGCCATGTAATTATAATTAATTCATCAGCACCGCACGTGACACTTCAGGTACTTCAAAGAAGGCACCGCACAAAGATTCGTGACCCAGTATCGCATCGACTCGGACTCAGAACGTGATAAGACGTCGACGTCAGTGGCGTCTTCGGACGGTCTTCGGGGTGATCTCCGGTCATCTCTGTGAGGATAAGAGCCTGGAGTATTTGATCCTGGTGAACCCAAAGGCCGCAAGATCTCACAAGATATCGCAAGATCCAATCGGATCAAATAATCAAATCGGTGTATCATGGTGTATCTCAGTTCTTGGTTTTTTGAAGTCGATCTGAGCGTTAGGAGCCAGGAGTTACAGAGGTAACCTGCCCCATAGCAGCGATCCAGGCACTGGGACCATTCTGGGACGATTCCGGGATCATTTCGGGACGATTTGGGTAGATCGATGTAGATCGATGGAGATCGATGTGGATGGTTTTTGCTCATTCTTACCTCATGTCGACTGACATGTTGTGGCTTGTATTGGCATATATATATGCATATATATTGTTAAGTAACAACATTGTCCAACACACAATTCGTGTACAGTTCAACAGCTGCTGGATGTCACTGTCAACATTATGGATCAACAGGCCTTGAGCCTGAAGCTATCCTGAGACTGTTTGCCAACAGTACAAAAGAGTGAGCGCGCACAGCATCAGCTGCAACATTGATACAACTGAGCTGCCTGAATCTTTTCATGGTAGCGGAGCAGTGATCCTGGAAGCATCCAGGTGAGCTCCAACAGGCAGAGGGCTTGATCCCAGAACACTGGGGGACTCTCAACAACAGCTGGAGCAACAAAGGGTAGCAGCCCAACACACCACCACTGCAACGACAAGGTAAAGAAACAAACTCAACAACAAGGTGCGCAGGAAGAGGGCTTGATCCCAACTATACAGTGTGGGGGACTCTCTACAACAAGGATGGCAACGGCATATGAGATACGATCGCCAACAGCAGGAGAAACACAAGCAGAAGCCCTAGCATCAACACACAGGCTGAAGTTGAAACCTCCAACATATGATGGCAACTATGCAACATTCGAAGAGTGGAAGTACAAGTTCTCAGCATACATGGGCCTACAGGACAACATCTTTCCACAACTGCTTTCAAGAGCAGAAAGAGCAACAACAGTGCTCACAGATGCAGAGCTGCTTGGTGCAGCAACAACAATAGAGGAAGGAGAAAAGTGGACACAACTGTGCAACAACCTCAAATACATACTCATTAACATCACCAGCGGCCCAGCAGCAACAATATGCAGACAATACCAAGACGCAATGGGCTTAGAAGTCTACAGGCAACTGTGCAACAGGTTTGCAACACCTGTTGGAACAAGAAGCATAGGCTACCTCACAAAACTACTCAAGCCAACTTTCGACACCAACAACTTTGAGGAGTCCTTCTCAACATGGGAATTTGAGCTTGCACGTTACGAGCGTGACAACAATGCACAACTACCAGACCAAGTGAAGATAGCAGTTCTCATGAATGAGACAACAGGACCACTCCAACAACACTTACACCTCAATGCCAGCGCAACACCAACATATGCTGAAGTGAGGACAACAATCATGGAGTACTACAGAACCACAACTGCGTTCTCAAGACTTCAACAACAGTCGTCTTCAGCAGTCAGCAGCAACTTAGGAGGAGGCCCAGCTCCAATGGATATTGGAGCAACATATAAAGGCAAAGGAAAAGGAAAAGGAAAGAGCAAAGGAAAAGGATTCAACAAAGGAGGTCACAAAGGAAAAGGATACCACCAAGGAAAAGGCTACGGAGGCTACGGCAGTTACAACAAAGGAAAGGGCAAAGGAAAACAACAGCAATGGTATCAGCCAAAAGGAGTAGAGAAAGGAAACAAAGGAAAGTCGAAAGGAGCTCACAACAAAGGAAAAGGAAAGAATCCAACAGCAATATGCTACAGATGTGGTCAACAAGGCCACTTGGCAAAGGATTGCCGAACAGCGGTGTACAACATTGCAGAGACACCACAGGAACAGAACCAGGATGGAACATCCCAATGGTATGACCCAAACAGTGGGTACGACAACTACTGGTACAGCAACGACCAGTCAGGCAACTACAACATCCAGCCAGTACAACAACAACAACAACAACAACAACTAGCTTTGCCAGCGCCACAAACCAACACGCAGACACCAACAATACAACTTGTGGGAGCACTGGGCCATCAGGCAGCAAGTGCCCACAATGAAGCAACCACCACAGCTCAAGCAGTGCAGCAGCAGAGAGGAGACAACGAGGTGGACGTTATGATCGACAGTGGAGCAGCAACACACGTTTGTCCAACATGGTTTGCACCAGACACACCACTGTATCCACTACAACAAGGACAAGGACCTAGGTTGAGGACAGCAACAGATGAGGATATCCCAGTGCATGGCTACAAGTGGGTGTACATGCACAACACCAACAAGCAAACAATAGCTGTTCCCTTCTATGTGTGTGATGTGACGCAACCAATCATGTCAGTAACAAGACTGGCAGAACAAGGGTTCAACACACAACTTAACGAAACACCAACAATCACACACCAAGGGATTCAACTCAGCACTCAAACAACGAGAAGGCCTATACTTCTTGCCAGTTGTGCTGATCACACTTCCAGCCAACTTGAGGCTTGAAGTCAACCAGACAGCAGAAGGAACAACAGCAAGAATAGCACCAGTCACACTGACTCCAACAGGCATGGAAGTCCTTCGCAACAAGAATGACCTATGGACATTCAACAGCCAAGGTTTCTTGGTAAGAGTCCACAGGACAACACGCAAGGCATTGTTCATGCCA